TCAAGGCGATTACCATAGTCAGATATCATACTAATCATATGATAAATATTATGAGGTATACCTGATTTGAGGTATACCAATAAGACATGAATGCTGTAAAACTATAAAGTTATACGTGCCAATTTAGAGATTTTTACTTATAATCGGTTGGACAAAACAGATACTTATAATTAACGTATGATTAATATCTTAGGGTAATTAAATAGATGATCTCGTATTAGTGTCAACACGGGTTTATGTCTACGGAACCAATGGCTTATATTTAGAGTTGGTAGTCATCTGCACACATATCTTGCCTAATATTTAGCTATTATTATACTCTTGCTCTAGCTCTTGTTTTCGATATAGACATATTGGTCAAGCAGTATTAATCTTATAGATGAGTACTGGATAATAGATTAGTTTGATATATAAAATACCCCTTGACTATATGTCTAATCGTTGAATTGTCCGAACCTAATAGTTATTTAGATCATAATTTACCAATACCTCTGTTTTGTCTAAGATACGTGGTGTCATATCTGAAAGAGATTTAACACGGATTTATCTCGGAAAGACGGAGGTATGATTGCTCGTCACTTGGATTTTACGCTATGTGCGGTTTCAAAACTATTTCAGATCTTATCTCCTGGTAAGATCTCGATATACAAGATATGATCTCAAGACGTTTATGCAGTTTAAGATCCAACTTGGCCTATATCTCGAGATCTTACTAGGAGATATTATATGTGTTCGGCAATATGCACCCTACTTAGATCAAGGGTGCATTAGCGATTTAAGAACAGACTATATATTGGACATATTTAACTGAACCCGGAGCCTCTGAGATAAGAACTTGCTAAACAATCCTATCAATTTTACGTATATCTTATATACGTAATATTAGGGTATTACGTATAACAGACAAAACAGAGCTATTGGTAAAACAATTGATCAACGAAATATCGTATATCTTAAAGTACCTAATTTGATTGTACAGTGTGTCAATGGCCTCAAACAATTCTGAATAGTTCGTTGAAGTGATACGGATAAATTAAAATAGGCAATCATCCCTTTGGAAAATTTAACCGCTATAGATGAAACAACGTTATTAGGATTATGCATTGACCGTGTCAAAATCTGAAGTATCGGAAAAAACTTACGGATACCCTCCGTAAGTTTTTCAACGAGCCCATAGGTTATAGGTGACAACTCCGGTACCTTCCTAAAAACAGGGGTACCATACCTAGCATTCATTTGATTGGACCACATCACTTTATCAATTTTAATTTAGATTTAAATAATTCAACTCCTACCTTTCATTGGTCCATGTGGACAAAGGTATGGTACCTTATGGGTACCATAGAAACTACCTAGGTTATATTCTAAGAATATAATATCAACTTGAGAATTAACTATCTTAGTACTTTTACTGATATTATAGAAGAATATCTTTAACATTAAAGATATTATTTGTTGCATATAGGACTAGTATGTACAAATAGATAGTATATTAATAGGTATATACTAAAGTACATAGATTGTAAACTAAAAATAACATAATACTTATACTTAATTACTTATCATAATTACTAAAGTACATAGATTTTTTAGAAATTACTTCAAATAGGACTAAAACTATGGCAAAAACTCAAAATAGGACTTGCTATGTTTTTTATTCCAAAATAGGACCATAGTGGTCCTATTGGAAACATACTCATTTCTTCCTTCCATTCTTACCCCTCCTTTAAATATTAGTAAAAGATAGTTAAAAGTCATAATTAGATATTTAATTCATAATAAATTTGAAAAAAAAATTCAATAATTCGTAGAAAAATAATAAAAAAATTAATAAAATTTTTATAAAATAAAAAATAAGAAAAAAAAAATATTTTTTTAATTTTTTTATTTTTTTTGAAAATTAATAAAAAATAGTAAAACTCCATTAAAAAAATTAAAAAAAATATGGATACCTTTCCCACCGCCTGTACTACCTCCCTGAACCACCACCTCCGATCGGTGTAAAAAATGCCACTTTTTTTTTGAAATTCCACAAAAATGGCATATTTCTCTATGAGAATGCCAATATTTTCATTCTGCCGACTTGAATCCTTTTGACTTTTGCCAAAAATATGGCATTCATAATTTTTTTGGCATTTTTTTACCCCGGTGACAGGAGGCGGTGGTACCGCCTCCCTGCACCACCACCTCCGACTGTTAAAAAAAATGTCATATTTCCTACAAACTTCCAATTTTTTCGGAAAATGCCAAAAATATGGCATATTTCTCCTTGAGAATGCCAACATTTTTTTTCTTCCATCTTAAATCATTCTGAATTATGCCAAAAATATGGAATTCATAATAAATTTGGCATTTTTTCCCCAAATGACTAGAGGTGGTGGTGCTGGGGCGGCAGAGGCGGCGGTGACAAAAAAATTTTTTTTTTGATTTTTTTTAAATTTTTTTTAATTTTTTTTTCATTTTTTTTAATTTTTATTTTTTTAATTTTTTTTTTTAAAATTTATTATTATTCAAAATATTTTTATTAATTTTTTGGTATATTTTACGAATTTTTATTATTTTTAATTATTTTATTATGAATTAAAACATTCCAATAGGTATAAGGGTATATTTGTCCAAGACACACATAATTAGTCCTATGGAAACATAGTTTATTTTTTGGTCCTATTTGTGCAAAGTGAATGACTTTTAGTCCTATTTTGATAATTAACTCTAGATTTTTCCGTACTAAGTAATATGTAAACCTAGTATGTTACTCATATGTATATCAAATATAAGTATATTTGATATACATATCATGTATCCGAAATGAGTATAATTAAGGATATTGTATATACACGTTAGTGTATATATATATATATATATATATATATATATATATATATATATATATATATATATATATATATATATATATATATATATATATATATATATATATATTCTAAATATAAATGAGTACTATTTTTTCATATCTCATGAAATGTGATATGTTAACGTTTAACGTTAACATATCATGTGTTATACATATATCAAAATATCTTTTAGATATAAAATATTAAATAGATATTTTATTTAATATTTTTTGTTAAAACGTGAAATAATAAGCTTTTGTATATGTGATTGTGTTATTCATAAAATAATACATCTCATAATGACCAAAGTAAATAAGCTTTTGTATTTAGTGTTTATATTCACAGATTTATGGTCACTAAATATATTATAATCGTAATTATAATATAATACGTAGTATTATAAATATTATAATATATAACGTGTGTAAATTGTACATATGTAACTAATTAGTATTATTTAGTATATTTATCTATATAAATATACTAAATTATACATATTAGATATATGACCTAACAATCTCAATTGGATAAATTAGGGGAGCACTACGTCTTTAGCGTAGTAAGATTATGTTTAAAATACCAAGTAATTTACTTGCAATTATATCTCTTTGGACATTATACGATAATCTTATTTTAAGCTACGATAATATTGGAAAAGTATTTGTTTCGGCATAACAAATACGATAGTATTAGAGGAAATACTGGTAAACGACGCACGTTTACCAGTATATTTCTTTAGCAATCTTGAACACCAATTGATACATGGGGATAAGTGCTAATCAAACAATCAAAATTAAGAAAGGTACTTATTTAAAAGCTTATTTACTTTGGTCATTATGAGATTTATTTTATGAATAATACAATCACATATCCATGTTTAAGGGTGATAATAAGTATTGCACAGTATTTGTGTTAAAAGATATTCACAATTCGTTTATTATATACCTTTTGAAAGATAATTCGTATGATCATTGGGACAAAATACAGCCTATGAATTAAACCTAAATGATTTAATAATGTTTAGTAGAATTTTATCCGGCTTATTTCCATGGATAGTGAAACACTGAAATATAGTCATCTCTACCCAATTCATCTTCTAAAACACTTATATCCCGTATAAATAAGTTTTACTCTTAGATAAACTTATAATCCCTAGTTGTGTGTTCATAGCGTAAATCACCGTTCGGGTAATTTGACAGTCGGGATGTTTACCATCTAATCGTTTAGTTAATAATTACTCCGTAAAAGATATGAGTAAACCCTAAAACCTATTTTTGCTATATCAAAGGTGATTGTAGAGGTGTGTCACTTGAGGATTAATCCGTCTAATTACTTATTAGAAAACGTCTTCAATTACGAATCCGGAATGAAATCTGAAATATTTGTGAATTTATGGTTAAACAAGAGATCTAACTATATCTTGGTTCATGCAAGTTGAACTCTAGATGATATTATACCGTTGTACGTAGTATAATATTTGGACAAATTAAGTTAGCTAGATAAAGGGATTAAGATACCGGCGTATTAACACCGGATTACAACTAGGCAAGATGTTCACAAATACTTATAAGTTTTGAATTATCATAAATTCAACTAAGTAATATCATAATCGAGTATTTTGGCTAAAATTGTATTTTGTTTGACTATGATACACGTAAATTTGAATCGATTTAGAACTAACGTTATAAATATTTAGTCTTGGGCGCCGGTCAAACTAAACGGTATCCCTTGCCACAATGTAAAATCCACTTTTACGTATTACATTGGATGTACAATGTAATATCATTTCGACAAGCTCTGTTTTGTCAATTTAATACGAAAATAGTATTATTAGGTACTGAGATCTTAACCCGAGATCATAGTATCGTCGGTTCATGTCTTATTGGTATAAACTACGTATGATATCTAATCGTGTATTCTTTTATCGATATCCAAATTATGTATCATTTAAACGTACACTTTGCATAACCTTGAATTGTAAGGGAAGTATTGCTGTGTTTTAGGACTTCTCATAAGTGCTCTAGCGATAATATCTTAAGTAATTTATAAATGATAAATTACTATAGTATATACGGTATTACTTAAAATAATGTAATTAATATCAATATTGTTGAAGGAAATCCTATGTAATGTGCCATCGTGTATATAGAATATGTATTAGGATCATTCTATGTAAACTATGTATTATGGGACCATTGCATGAAAACTCTGTTTTTTCGAATCTCTCTTTTCTTACTGGTCGACACCTTATGCGTAGGTTGCTCAGCCGCTACCACCAGAAAGAGGCCATCGCCGGATTCCTTTACTCCCTTGAAACTACCCGCACCCATCAAAGAAGACCCTAGCGCTGGTGTTCTACCAACGCCTACTGCCATCACCTTCGGCCGAACTCTGCAAACCGCTTGCAACCTGTTCGCCGCTGTTCACGGTGGGGTCGCGCTCTGCCTACCTCTTCTCCGGTATCTCCCTGTTGCTTATCTCCATCTGGATTGACCACGGCCGCCGGATGCCCGGATCTGCTGCTGAAGATTGGATGCAGCCATAGGGTTGGCCGCCGTCGGGTCTGATGACCGAAATCAGATCGTGGTCCCTTAGTGAGGACTGCATCAGCTATGAGGATGATTCATGACGTTGCTGTACTCCTAGAAACCATCCACGCTTGGTATCCCTGCGATTGAATCTTCTAGGTAAGTATTCATACCTAAATTGATCAACAACTTAACTTGAATTCTTGTCTAAAATCTGATTTTTGGAACTAAGAGGAAAATCTGGTTTTTCCTTAAAAGGTGATTTGTTTTTGGCTGGAATTAAAATCTTTGTTTTTGGAGCCTCCCTTTAATTGATAATCTTTTCTTGAGGAATATCATTGCGATTTAAATTTTTTTTTGAAGACATGTGAAATATAGCCTTTGCATAAACACCAATATTGTATTCCCAGTCCTCAGATCAATTTAAGAGACATACTATGTATGTTTCTGTAGAAATATTTTTTCATTTTTTTTCCTTAATACAAGTATACACTATGTATACATTTGATCTTCTAGAATGCTACAGATAAGTATATGCACATGCTCGGTTTTTTTTAATGGCATTTACCTTTTTTCTATCCAAAGTATAGCTAGGAATAGTTACATGACATACTAGGCCCGTAAATTTATAAGGTTGTTATATTTTACTGAAACCTCCAGACCGAATGAGACATGTGCCCATCGTATTATGAGTTTACACTCATAATTCATAATTGTACTACATCTAAATTAATGCTAGCACAAGTATATTTAATGCCCATGTCTAATAGTAGTATGAATGGGCATCTCGTTTAATGATAATGTCTCGGGAAAACTGTCAAATTAGTCCTCCTACTATTTCAAAAAAGTCAATTTAGTCCTCGTACTTTAAAATCAACCAATTGAGTCCTTAAACTTCTAAAAAAAACTCAATTAACCAGTTTAACCGGTAACCAACAAGTTATAGGTTCAAATCCATACGTGGCTCCTATGTGGCTTTGTTTTTTAACGTTTCCTATTTTTTTATAATCTCTAAATCCAAAATACCTAGTTTGCCCATTTGACCAACGCAATACTTCTTCTTCTAGGAATTGAAGTGCTCCATCGTCTGCAACTGTTGTCAATGAAACAATCGTTGCCCCCTTGTATGAGCAAGAAACCAGGCAGAACCATAGTCGATGGAGGAAATGAGTGCTATGAGAACAAAGAACGTCAAATCTCAGATTATTCATCCATCTCGGGCAAAGGTGTTTCCGACGGCGAGGGTGGAGCTAGAAACGGACCTTCCACCATGCTCGGATTCCATGATGGAGCTTGAAATAGCCGTTCTTCCGTGCGCGGCGGTTCCCACCATGCTTACCTCAAATCCTCAATGTATGCGACATCTTCGAAGCCGCACAGGTGGAGGTCGGCCCTTGTGTTACATCATAGGTGAAGGCGGGTGGGCAAATTTTGCGTTTTCTTCCCTTCATTTCTGGGTTTTCTTCTTTTTTGTTACGCGAAATTATTCGGATCTTGGCTTACACAGATCTTAGAAATGAGAAACTAATTTTTATGTAATGGGTTTGAAAATTATATATGTCTACTTTATTCTGGAAATTTGTTTGAGAGAAGAGCACTGGTATGAACAGACATCGTTGCCGATACCCCGGTTCCCTCTTCACCGCCTTCTGCTTCATTTCCCTCCCTCATCCTACTGAATTGATGAGTGCGGATGGGCCAGATGGTCACAAGGAGATTTTGACTAATATTACCCAAATACCCTTTTGTCTTTGAACAATTTTTTTTTTAATCTGACGTGGTGTATATGTGGGTCACCATACGTATGAAGTTAACCGGCAAATTTATTGTTTACCTACTAGAAAGCTCAATTGATTTTTTTTGAACAGTTTGAGGATTTAATTGGTTGATTTTAAAGTAAGAGGACTTGATTGACTTTTATGAGATAGTACAAGGACATATTTGACAGTTTTCCCTAATGTCTCAAAGAAGTACTACTAGCATTATATATTGTACTTGATTATTTCTCACCCAAGGACAATTTTGTGGGGTTTGTACACATTATTGATTCTTCATAATACTCCGTATCATTTATGATTACTATTATTAGCAGTACCATATTCACGATTCTACTAGTGGATATGAATTCATTTTTTTTTCAATCACCATATTTCTAAATTTTTTATTTTGTATATACGTATACCTTGGAACAGTGGCGGAACCAGAAGAATATTTGAAGGGGGGCGGTCAAGAAATTCATCAAGACTCAAAATATTAAAATTGGAAAAACAAGTTGAGAAAATACAATGGTAATATGGAATACGTAATCTATTAACGATAACCTCTAAACTTTATTCCAAAAAAGTTTTGGGGTCAAGTACACAAAGGTAATCTACCAAATAAAAATTATATAAATTCATTACTAATATTCTGAGTAGTAATACTCCGTATAAATTATTGGTCATTTTTGTTTACTTAAGTTATTTACAAAAGCACATAGTAGATAAAACAATATAAATCCCTAAACTAGTTAAAGATTATTAAAATTCTGAAACTTTAAATTCCAAAAAAGTAAATAATTAAAAGAATAAATTTTTAGCCTAAAACTGTACGGAGTATATTAATCGCAAGCTAAACTAAGGAGGCGTTTACTTCACCGGTTATTAAACGGTGCTTATTAAGACCCGTGTTAATAAGCGGTGCATAAAATAAACAATGTTGTAAGACTGTGTTTACTTCAAACGGTTTAAAACACCGCTTAACATTAAAATGTCCAAAATAACCCTATACATATATACACACACAAACATTCATGAACACAAGTATATAATATAAATGTGTACCCATACCCCCTAACCCCTTACCCACCCTACCTTACTCTGACCCCACCTACCCCCTACCCCTACCATACCTACCCGACCCTACCCCTACCCGATCCCACCCTACCGCGACCCTACCCCCAACCCCATAGGCCCCTACCCCCTTACCGCATCGACCCCACCCCCACCCTGACCCCACCTTACCCTACCTTACCCCAACCCCGCCCCTACCCTACCTTACCCCGATTACCACTACCCTACCCAATCCCACCCTACCCCTACCCTACCTGACCCCACTCTGCCGCAACCCTACCCCCGACCCCACTGCACCTACTCTGCCCCTATCGCCTCTAATCACATTGGCCCCACCCCGACCCCACCACCCCGACCCCACCAGGTATAGGGTGGGGGTAAAGGGTGGGGTCGGGGTATATGGTGGGATGGGGTAGGTGGGGTAAGAGTATGGTGGGGTGACTGCGGTCAGGTAGTGGTAGGGTGGGTCGGGTAGGTAAGGTAGGGGTGGGGTTGGGTAGGTGGGGTAGTGGTAGGGTGGGTTCGGGTAGGTAGGGTGGGTTCAGGCGGGGTATGGGGTAGGGTCAGGGTAGGGGTAGGGTGAGGTCGGATAGGGTAGGGTGGGGTTGGGTAGGTGGGTAAGGGGTGGGGTAGGTTTGTGGTCTGGTAGGTAGGGTAGGGGTAGGATGGGGTAGGGTAGGGGTAGGATGGGGTAGGGTAGGGGTAAGGTGGGGTCAGGTAGGTGGGGGTAAGGGTAGGGTGGGGGTCGGTTAGGTAGGGTAGGGGTGGGGTAGGTAAGGTAGGGTGGGGTCGGGTAGGGGTAGGATGGGGTAGGGTAGTGGTAGGGTGGGGTCGGGTAGGATGGGGTAGGGTAGTGGTAGGGTGGGGTCGGGTAGGGGTAGGATGGGGTAGGGTAGGGGTAAGGTGGGGTCAGGTAGGTGGGGTAAGGGTAGGGTGGGGGGTCGGTTAGGTAGGGTAGGGGTGGGGTAGGTAAGGTAGGGGGGTAGGGGTGGGGTAAGGGTAAGGGTAGGGTGGGGTCGGGATAGGGTAGGGGTAGGGTGGGGTTGGGTAGCTGGGTAAGGGGTGGGGTAGGTTTGTGGTCTGGTAGGTAGGGTAGGGGTGGGGTCTGGTAGGTAGGGTGTGGTAGGGTGGGGTCGGGTAGGGGTAGGATGGGGTAGGGTAGGGGTAGGATGGGGTAGGGTAGGGGTAAGGTGGGGTCAGGTAGGTGGGGTAAGGGTAGGGTGGGAGTCGGTTAGGTAGGGTAGGGGTGGGGTAGGTAAGGTAGGGGGTAGGGGTAGGGTAAGGGTAAGGGTAGGGTGGGGTCGGGATAGAAGGTGTAGGGTAGGGGTGGGGTAGGTGGGGTTGGGGTCAAGGTGGGGTCGGTAGGTAGGTGGGTCAGGGGTAACAATATGGTAAGGGCAAGGGGTAAATTCGGAAACTGAAAAAGCTTAAAGTGCCGCTTAATTAATACATGGGGGTGTGGTAGGCTTAGTAAGCGGCACTTTAAGCACCTATTTCGGTTAGTAAGCGGCTTTTTAAGCAGCGTGCGTGTTTACTTCACCTGTCTTACTAACCTAACTGTGACTTTAGCAGCGAAGTAAACGCCTCCTAAATAATTAAAAACAGGGATTAATTGCTAGTTATAACAGGTATCAATTCAACAATTCTCAAAGGATTCAAGCAGTAAATCTCAAGGCGGCAAAGCAAAGCGAAAAGGCAACCTTGAAAACCTCAATTAATAATATAACCACCTTAATGGCAACCCAAATTACAAATAATTCAAAATTAAATGACTAAAACACTAAAATATACGGAGTAGCAACTAGCAAGTTAATCAAATAACTAATAAACCTCTACATCGCAGATGAGAATTCACATAAAGGCTTGATGCTTGCAGCTTGAATTTCCTCAATCCTCCGTCCTCACCAATCGGAAGACCTAGCCAAACCGCTATCGACTACAGGGGCACAGGTCGTTTCATATTTCTGATTATAGAATATGGGCGGTTGGGCCTTCGGTCAAGCCATGGCCTTTGGACTGATAATTATAAGAACTGATGACACTGAAATTAAAGTCGGCCAATGAGCCCTGCTATGCTACGTACGTCGTCGTTTCTGTTTCTTTTTCCCACTTAATAAAACTGTGTCGTATGGGTGAAGTAAAAACAAAACAAAAACAGAACCTTTGAAAGTCATCGTCTATCCAACGAAACAGAGCGCAGGTCGGCGGAAAAAAGCAGGGCCAAGGAAGAAGACAACCAGGGGCGCTGTGGAAATTTTATATACATATACCCTAGCATCTCCGGCGAAGGGGTGGCGCCGGCACCGGCTCGCCCACCCCTGGTTCCGCCACTGCCTTGGAATACTTTACGTATTAATATAAAATACCATAATATATATTATTTTTGTTGGATGAGGAATTTCCACACAAAGATTTACAAATTTAACTGACACTTCATACAAGCATATAGATGTACCACGTACACATCGCCATATGCTATAATGTATATTTTCAAATTAAACAGAAAGATGATTGATATGATCAATTTGATCCAAACTTGACATTTTGGACTCAAATGAACTCGAGTAACTTCACTCCTTATTTTAGAAAGTCTGTCACTCTTTGTGAAAAGTAAATTACAAAAAAAAATTATTATTATTTCATAGAAATATATTGTCAGGTTTTTTACACACACTTCTCTAGTCGTATACTAATGAATCGGTATATCAAAGAAGTATCACTCAAAAGCTTTTAGCTTTAACTTGTGAATAAGATTTATTGTTATTATGTTTTTTTCTTAAATAACAATAATTTTGGGGGGAGGGGGGGAATCTCCCAAGCGCAATTTGGATAAACAAAATTCCAAATAGAATACGCAAATAAATGTGTTGAAGTTAAGAGGATTTAATGTGATAATCTAATCATAATATAATTGAAAAATACACTTTTAGTATTACCATTATGTTGGTAGTACTAAATATAAAGTTGGTTTTATGAATGTCCATTATGTTGAGAATAAGAGCCTTCTCTAATTTTTGGATTTATCGATTTTTTAAATCTCTCTCATAAGCTTTGTAAATATGGACAATACTACTTCTAATTAGACTTTTATTTTTAAGTCTTAAAGTATGATTTAAATCATGTGAATTCAATTAAGATTTTAAATTGATTTGACATCTCATTATTTTATCTCAAAATATATTTGAGAATTGAGACGTTTATACATCCAGATTCATTAAATCTATATCTATAAATTTTGTTCATAACAAAATGGATACAAAGGAATATCTTCATAAAAAAGTAGAATCGACATGCACTTTTCACTTGATTGGATTTATAGGATTGATGATGATGAATTACTAAAATATTTATGTTTAAGGGTGTTGGGTGTCGATTTCTTTCCGGCTCAGGTCTCCAACCCTTTAACTAGACTCACACACACCACTCTAGGCTAGACCACAACACAACTCCAAGCTTCTTCTCTACCACTAAGGTATTCTCTCTCACACTCTCACACAAAGGAAATGGAGAAGAAGAAGAAGGGCACTGCTCACTACTCTCAGAATATCTCAGGAAGGCTACACTCTCAAGGAAGAAGTGAGCTACATAAATAATAGGCTGCCAGCAAATTATCAAGACAAGTCACGAGGGATGCAAAGACAAAGGCTCATGGGCAGACACAGACAGAAATGCAGCGGACCATAAGGAGAGGGGGCCAAGCATTAGGTAAGTCAACAGTCAATGAATGGCCACAACAGAAGAACTAAATAGGTATACCTTAGTGGGAGTAAACATGGGGTGCAAGTCAATAATAAAGTGGAAGGGAGGCCTTGGTAGGACCAATACCTCCAACATTCTCCACCTTATTGGTCCTAGGTGGTGTAGAGTAGCAATACAAAGTTGTGAGGAGACTCATCATCGCCGGATTATTACAAGTACATCATTGCGATCATACAAGTAATATATGAGAACCAAAGTTCCCTTTCGGACCAAGCTTACCGTGCAAACCCACTTCACGATGGACT